CAAAAGAAATTTCACATGGTCAGATTTATTGTAGTTACAAAAAGTCAGTTAAACATCATGCTTTAACAGGATTAGCATCAGAGTTTATGAGTTGAATATTAAATTTTTAAATACATACCTATGAATGTACTTCCGTACAGCATCTTGTTTTGTCTCAAGAGTTTGTTTACTTGGCGGCCTAGTGATTGGTGGAGTTGTTGGATGTTCGTCACTCTGGATTGATGGAGTCGTATGATGTTCGTTGCCCTGGAAATGAATGGCAACTTGAGCAGCTGCATATTCTAGGCTAGTGAATGAGTTATTATGATGAAGACTCTCAGCACCAAAGTCATTTTCTTCGGGAACATTGACAGGTTGTGGCAGAAAATGTTGACTAATGCCTATATCAAAATTTGGCCCTTCAGAAAGTTCTGGGACTTTACTTTTGCCTCCTTTATAACCTGGTCAAGCGACCTAATGCACTCCAACATTTTTGGAGAACTCCACCATGCATCCATCTGTGTTGCAGTTTCAAAACCCCATACTTTTGTTTTCGGGGGCTTGTCATACTCGGGTATCTGAGAGCCATCTGCTTGTTGCTTCTGATTTTGGTCAGCGGGAACTGAGTTGACTTCTTGATCTTCAGCCTTTTTCCATGCATGAGCCGCCATTCTCTTCAAGACTTCGGCATAGTCGTTGAAGAATTTAACGAGCATGTTGTGTCCATCGATTCCATTTTGACTGGCTTCTTCAAACAACTGGCCCAGGTCAAGAATAAGGGGCCCCATCCTGTTAACTATCACATGTTGGAACCTAGTTCCAAGATCCAATTCCTGAAGAGTAAAATGAAAATTAACATCAGAAAAAATCAACATCAGCATACAGGATGAGCATCAAAGCATGCAGGATGAACAACCAAATATTCTATGTCAAGGTGAGCATCGAAGCATACAAGATGAGCGTCGAAGCATACAAGATGAGTAACCACGCAAACAATAAAACAACCTTTACATGAGCAACTGAGTCTCATAGGATGTACCTTATCTTGCGTTGATGTATCTCCTTGATTTTTAGGTTGTGCCTGCGAATCATCAACTTTCCTTATCTTCTCGGCCTGGATGGGCTCATCCTCATCGATTCTTTCTGGTACTCCAATCCTGTCTAGTGGTTCACTACTTCCAAAGCCAGCTTGTTTGTTACTCGGTCGTTGTCCCAGTGAGCAATCACAGGAAACTGCCGGGGGATTTCATCCCCACCTTTGTACTCAACTCTATCCAAATATCACAACTGCAATGTTTTATGGTACCAACATAATATTCAATTATTTACATACAAAATTAATAAAGAAGGGGAAAAAATAAAGAAAAGTAAGTGAAATATACTATGAGAAAGATCAGTGGCCCACTGAAAGCACCTTAGGATTTTTCTACCATTCCTCGACCGCGTCATAGAGTCCCTTCGCTACATACTTGCACCAATTATAATTTTTGATGTCATCGAGGTTCATCAATGATTTCATTACTTGGTAGCGGCAACACACATTCTTTGTTCTAAGGAGCATGCTAGCCGTGGCTAACAACACAAAGTACCTACAGAAAAGTAGCATACAGGATGAACAATAAAGCATACAGGATGAGCATCAAAGCATATAGGATGAGCAACCACAAAAAAAAAAAAAAATACAGGAACCTTTGGAAAACATTGAAGCATACCTTTTGAATTCTTCTCCACACACTCGGTTTCTTTGTTCTTTAGGAAGATTTTTCAGGTCCGGGCAATCAGGATCACCCGATACAAGGTAGTTCCCAATTTGGGTTGCTATGGGCGATCCCGCATTTGGGTCTTTCATTTTGAATGTCTCCCTCATCTGCCAGACAAGATTCCTGTACTCTTCAGACTTTTCCCTGGAATCATAGGCTTCAACCACTGTCTTCGGACCACGTGGTAGTCCAAGCACATCTTCCACATCTTCTTCCGTGATCTTCAATTCATCTCTTCCGTTTTGAATCAACAACGTCTTATTGCTGAACCTGAAATTTTTTAACAGGTAAAGGGACAAATCCGGGTGTGAAAATTTACTGATTCCCAGGTTCAAAAAGTGCCCGAAACCTGTTTCCTGAACCAGCTTTCTTTGGTGAGGGTCAACGCACCAAAAATTTTATGAGCTCCGGCCGGCGACACTCTAGATAGAAAATTTGAAACCTCTTTTTTGGGTTGTTTCTTTTTTACAGCTTTCTCCTTTTTTGCTGTTGTTTTTGTCACAGAACCATCATCACCATTTTTTCTCTTCGTCTTTCTTCGGGCAGAGGGTGTTTTCTTTTCTAAAGCTGCCTTTTTCTCTTCTTCTTTTTCTGTCACCGGATTGCCAGCATCGTGTTTAAACTTCGTCCTTTGTTCTATGGTGACTGGTGTAGACGATTCAGACTCTTCCTCTGTGCTATTTCTGGTTTCTTTCTCTTCAATGGCTTTTTTAGATGATGAATCTGTTGTTCACTTCTTTACTTCTTGTTGTCATGCAAGTTCATCGCCGCCATCTTTCCTCTTCCTTTTTCTCTCTTTGGCGGCAGATGTAGATGATTTGGCCTTTTTTTGTGTTTTAGCATTCTCTTGTTGAGACGGTGAACTATTGTGCCCTTCAATGGGTTGTGTGTAAGGGAGACTCTTGTCTTTATTGCCTCTCTTCACACTTTTGTATTGATCTCTGTTGCATGAAAACATTCACAGAATTATAAGATAACTAGCAAATGAGCAAGACAGGATACAGGATGAATATTTAGCGATAGACAGTGAACATATATCCAAAAATGAACATCAAACAAAATCAACATCAGCATACAGGATGAGCATCAAAGCATACGGGATGAGCAAAACCTAACATTCTCTGTCAAGATGAGCATCAATCACATAGGATGAGCACAGGATGAGCAACCTAACATTCTTTGTCAAGTTGAGCATCGAATCATACAGGATGAGCATCGAAGCATACATGATGAATAACCACACAAATAATACAACAACCTTTACATGAACAATCACAACTGAGTTTCAGGATATAGGATGAACATCAAAGTATACAGGATGAGCATCAAAGTATACAGGATGAACAACCACATCTATGTAATGAACAACTAAGTCTCAAGAATTATCTTACGCTACCAAATCTATGAAATGAACATCTGAATTTAAAGAATTTACTCAGGATGAACAATACCTGTCATCAACGCTTGAGCCTGATGATGACGCCTGGCTAGCCTCTGGTGTAGCAATTTTCATTGCTTTGATTCTCATTATTCTGCGGTAAGAATCGGTGGATGAACATAAAAAAAACTCATCAAAAAAACTCAAATGACAAAATTCACAATTTAAAACCCTATTTATTGGAAAAATCTGCTCTAAAACAACAAATTTTCATCTCAACATAAGCGAGTCCTTACTGTGATAACTAGATTTGAAAATGAAGAAGAATCGCGGTGTTTAGAACCAAATTCGCTCTCAGATTTGAAACTTGAAACCGAGTTTCATCCAAAATTCACCATGTGGACGGTTTAAATGCACTTCTGAATGATAGGAGAGAGGCTTGTAGCAGATTTCTGGTGGAGATTCGTGGATTTTGTGGAAATTGGACGGAAGAAATTACGCCGGAGATCTGGAGAGAAAATTCGCTCGACGGAGGTTACGCCGGAGATTGTGGTTTTTTTTGTGAATTTTTTCGTTTTTTTAAAAAAATGCGACTATTTATATTTTTTCCTAAAGTGCATGGTCTGAACTTACCGGTGGCAATTTTGTAATTGTAAAGAAGGTGGATAGTGCGTGCTGTACTAGGGAGCTCCGGGTACTCTATATATTAATTGGAAAGGAAATGTCATGAGAATATTCTATAATGTAGAATGTAAGATCCATCTTTGGCCGCATTGATTTGGTACGTATTCTGTAACAAAATCCGACGTTTGATCTGTTTATGTGTTAGGTTGTAAAAGCTTATATTTATTTTCGTTTCGTGTTGTTTGGAGATTAATATAGACTGTGTTATTGCATCATGAAAGTCATATATTGGAGATGTTATATCTCGATATCTTCCCGGCGGAGTATATATTTGCTAAAATGTTTATTCACATTTCTATTCTTCCAATGTTTCTTAGTATTTGTACGTATTATTTTCGATTTTTTAACGCATGGAACTTGCTAGAGATAAGTAAATACTCCTTCCGTCTTATAATTATTGTTCATTTTTTGTTTTCATTTCTAGTTTAAATTGCATTAAAAATAAAATTTTCAATTGGACAATAATTTTGGGACAGGGGATTACATGTTGTATGTGATAGTTGCAAACTACTACACCGGAAGATATGTTACACTAAACAAGTCCTAAATAATAGTATATTCGAGTGCGAATTAAAAACACACAACGTAAGTTTGACTCAACAAACACATCTAGAGATGCTTATAGTGGAGAGATTATAATTAATCTATTTTCTTTTATCTATAAATTGGATACTATAACCCGATTGGTTACTTGCAGAACATTTTTGTACACTCTTCAAAATAATTGTGCTCAAGTTTAATCTGTCGACTGCCAAAGTCGAAGTTTGTAATGCCAATAATTGATGCATATTAAATTTACTAACCACTAACTAATCTGAGGACGTTTATCATGTCTATTTTTTTTATCATCATCATTATTGTTGTTGTTAGTGTATATTATTGTATTTCAATAGTTTTTTAGTCCTGGGAATTGTGAGGTTATTATTATTTTTGCATCAACAGTCACCTTTCCCCGCCCTGTAGCTGGTGAAAGTCAATTCAAGACAAGTAGAAGCAATTATAATACGTCATTGACTTTGACAATTAGAAGTAGTAACAAATTATAAATAGTTATAAATTTCAATTATGTTGAAATGAATTCTTTTCAAAAAAAAAATAAAATGAAATTATAAATAGTAACATTTTAACTCATTTTGTGTTGCAATGAAATTTTTTTTTATAAAAAAAAAAAGTTGAAATAAATAGTTATAAAGTCATGTTTGAGAGTTAAAATTGAACCCTCTCTATAAATAATGCACCCTTCCAATCTGATTAATTGTCTTTGAATCACACGGCTGACATCATTTTCACATTTCTAATTTGATTTCCCTTTCTAATTTATAACATATATTTACAGAAACCAGAGTCTTGAATGCAAACCGTTGTTAATTAATTAGAATGGCTAAGCAACAGAAACGTAAAACACAGATTGATGAAGATGGGACAAACACAATGAAATGTAACAGGTGGTTCGATTCACACTGAGATCAGAAGTTGCAACAAGAAGAAGCCTTTGCCCGACTACGTAGGGAGATTAGAAGTTAGTTCGAGGAAAAATAATTAATGTTAACTAATAACATTAACCTCTTGGGGGATACTTCAGGAGGGGAGGTTAGGCTGTGCAAACTAACTATTGCGACTAATCAGAACAACGCCAGTCCTAATAGTGATATCCGTGATTGTGTGACTCGATGTCGTACTGATGATACGCATGACTGGATTGCTCAGCTTCGTAGTGATGATATTGATACATCTCAACATTCCCAGAGGGCTCATCTTCTTGATGGACATCCGAGGAAGTACCGGAGCTTGCTGCAGGACCGGGGACGTGAGCTTGATTTTTATCAACTCGGACTGCAACAGATTCAACTTGTTCTGATTCAACTTTCTCAAAAGAGTTGAATATAGGGTGCAAGTAAGCATCGGCCAATAAAGATTTTAAGCTGATATCAGATCGAGAGGCTCCGTCCTCTGCATCCTTGTCCTTCGCTTCCTGGAGATAAGAATAGCAATAAGGAATTCTGTTACTAAGCTACTACATGAAGCATCTATTTTTTGGATGAAGAGACTGCCAAATAAAGCTTTTCCACAAATTTTATATTCATTTGCGGAAAATCAATATAAGATGATGGGGTCTGAAGGTAAAAAGATGTCATTGAGGTAGAAATGTATAGCAAATCAGCAGGCCAAACGGAAATTATTTTCAAGGCAGAGCAATGCAAATGATATCCCTTTAGAAAACAAGAACTGTTGGTATCTGTGGTAAGGAAGCCTAGTTCAAAACTTTATGCTCCCTCTTGAAATTAGAATCCGTATCATGCAGTAAGGTCAAAACATGTACATTGAGGAAATCTGAAGTAATCCAGAAGTAATCTGCAATTAGTCTACCTGAAACTTTTCAGACATGGAACTTACCTCAAGGGGATACTTCCTGAATGCCGGTTCAAACCGATGCTTACAGTACTGATGGAAAGCCAAGGTCAATATTGGTAATGCTATTAGCAAAGGAGTGGATCTCGCAGCCTTTTTGGTGCTAAGCAAACCCAATAAAAGAAGTTGAGATAGTAATAAGCTGCCAATGATACGACCATGAACGTGGGGCCAAAAGGCACCGGCACTTTCATACTGTTGGTTGTACACATTAATTATCTGTTCATAAGACAAAAAAAGTTAAGATAGCCTGACAAAAGCTTGTCACTGGCAAACATCACCGAGTTAAAAATTGTCTACAGGAGCTCCAAACCTGGCAAACAATAGTAATCCACGACAACAGCAATTTCATTGTTCAACAAACCCCTACTTTCCAAGTAAACATAAAATAGAATTCACATGTGATGTAAATCTTTCTACATTTGAGAATTCATTCAACATTCTCATAGTTTGAAATAATTTCATTTAGGGGACAATTATCAAGAATAAGCAGGAGGATTCCGATTATTGTAGCCATCTCAATGACGCCTAAAATCTCTTTTTTTCATTCATTTACATGTATGAAACTGTAAAGATCAGCTTTTCTCTTTAGGTCAGGCTTCTAAGTGTCTATCAACGAGTGCCTAGACTGTATCCCATATAATGATACAACACATCTTGAATTGCACAAAATACTGATACCTACAAAAAAAAAAAAAGGAGACCCCCAGCAACCACCCCAGAAGAAGAACAAAAAAGAAGGGGAAAAAAGTCACAAAATGAGCAGCCCACACTACAAACCTGATGGCGATATACAAAGTATGCAAAACCAAAGAAGACCAGTATGAAAGGCAGAAGGATTGGAGTAACCGCAGCGTACACAAGTCCAAGCAGGAAGTAGAGTTGAAGATTTGGGAGCGTTTCTGGAAATTCTACACTACCAGGGTCCATTGCCTTCTCTCTGTCTCGTTCAGTTTTGACAATGAGCATGTTCTTCAGATGGAAAATTACTAAAGGCTTCAAGCGTAGGATTTCTCCAGCCATACCGGCCCATCCATCAACCATTATATAGGTGATGAAGAAGGTAGCTTTCATAGGAATAGAAACACCAATGGTTCTTGGAATTCTGCCAAGGGTACAAGCATAAATCAGTTCCGAAGCATTGTATAAATATTCAAGAGGACAAACCACGAGCACAGGCACAAAGTTGAGCACAAAATCTGAAAAAGACTTCCTGGACATTTTCCAGATCCGTAGCCTAACCAAGAATTTAGAAAAGGGAAAAGGGGGAAAGAAAAAAGTTTTGGAAAGACTTAAAACATGAGTCCATTTTGCTACTAAACTGGAAAGTAGTCTATTGGCCAAAAAGGGGGGGAAGGGGGAGGGGGAATGGAACACTGAAAACCAATGATTCATTCACTCAAATACAATGAATAGTCGAAGAAACTAAGTTACAGATAGAACATTACTCTGTGGGAGATTGATGAAGGAATGCTTTTAGTTGCTGGAAAGCTGTTCCTGTAATTATACTCCCCAGAAACACATTGACCAACATAAAGTAATAGTATTTTGCTGCTGTTCTCCTCTCTAACGTTGATACTGCAACATATCCCTCAAATTTTGACATTATCATCAAAATTGTAGGAAGGATGATTAAAAATATTTTAAGTGCCAATCCAGGAAGGAAACCCTGCAGGAAGGATTTGATGAATCCCCTGCACATCAATGCAGCAGATAAATTTGATGTAATGGCGAGAAGATACCAACACAAATATCATACAATATAAAAATCAATAAGAACATGGAAAGATATCCCAGAAAGAAACTAGCATTTGTCTGTTTGATCAGAGATGAGAGTTTGTTATACAAATTGGAAGAGAGAGAGAGAGAGAGAGAGAGAGAGAGAGAGAGAGAGTCAATCAACCCAAAAAGAAATAATGTTAAATTTCAACAGTGCTTGCCGTAGAAATATAAAGCCAGTCAAAAGAAAATCCATAAATTCGAATCCTTGACATTAAATATAAGAACCAGCATAATGAATAATTATACATCAACTCTATGCAGGAAGTTAAAGATGCTAAACTTCATGAAAATCAATGTAATTTCACTAGAAATGCTTGCCACTGAGAGCAGCAAAAGTCAATCTATTAAAGGACTGAAATAAAATATCATTAACAGCACTTACAATTCAATCAACGGTCTGAGGAATGGAGCAACCTTTTCTAAGCCTTCCAAGTTTGCCAAGGATTGCACAAAAGCAATAGGTATCATGTAAAAGAATATCAAAGCAAAGACTGCCAATGATATAACGTGCTTTCGGACACTTAGGGAAAGAAAGGGGATGGCAAGGTTCTTCCAGTATATATCACGGGGTTCAGGAGCCCATCTAGTCAGCCAGAGTGTCGGATTCCTGCTTTGTTGTGTCTGTGCACAGACAGCTGCACCCCATCTTGAATCAAATGAAACAAAGGCAGCAGGCATGACAGATTTTGGATCTTTGAGAATATTCTGGCGCTCCACAGTCATCTAACAGAAACAGAAGGAAAATTCATGTGCCAGGAAATAATGCAAAGAAATTGAAGAAACTATATTCTAGAAGAGAGCTAAGAAAAATAATCTTTGATTGACACATTCTAATAATGTCAATTCAAAAGCTCTGCTTGGATTGTTTTTTCAGTGTCAGTGTGTGTGTGTGTGTGTTTGTGTGTTTGTGTGCGTGCGTGTGTGTGTGCGTGCGTGTGTGTGTGTGCGTGTGCGTGTGCGTGTGCGTGTGGGTTCGCGCGTGCGTGTGTGTTTTTTTGATGGGAATGTAAAAAGACTTATTGAGGATGTAAAAGGTATGCTGGATGGGGAATAGATTAATTAAAATTCTGAACAAACCTATTAAACACCATAAAAAGGAAACTTACTCTTTTGTCAAGCTCCTTGAGTTGCTGTTTGTAAAAGTCAATAGCATCAACTTTTCCACCCCAAAGTCCAAGGAATCCTTTCTGGTTAAGAGAAACACAAGGTTATCAGTGGAACATAAGCATCTCAGCCTATATTCCTGTAGGTCTTATAGTAAAATTCCTATGCATTAAACATATACCTTTGTGGTTGGTTTCTTATCTGGATGTCTTTCAAACTTCAGCTGATAGTAGTCCAGCCAGTCTTGAAGCCTATTTCTTTTGTTGACAAGTTTGCGAAACTTGTTAGCATTATAGACGGCCTGTGATACAATGAAATCATTACATTAGCGAAGAATAGCAAAATGAACTCATACAAAATAAAAATCTCCAGCATTGACGAAAAAGTCTAGCAGATCATCTTTTGGGATTACAAAAATTATATTTGAAACATTTCATGAAATTATTCTGTAAAGAAAAGGCATCTCCAAAGTTATTAAAAAGCAGGAAAACCACCAAATTACCTGGTAACACAAATAATGTTCTTCATGGTTTTTCCTAAAGAAGCTATCAACACTGTCTGGTATAGATCGACCAGAAACACGAGGTATGTTCCGAACAAGAACCTGATAAAACAGAAAGAACCAATTACACAAAGATTAAAAAATTTAGCTAAAAAGAAGACAGGTAAGCTTCAAAGAGGAATAAGAAAAGAATGGAAATGGAGCACATTGCTGGAAAAGACACTGTCAATTCTAGTTAAAATGGCAATGCCAATTGCAACTATCTAGAGAGAGAGAGAGAGAGAGAGGGAGAGGGAGAGAGGCAGGGAGAGGGAGAGGGAGAGGGAGAGGGAGAGAGAGAGAGAGAGAGAGAGAGATGGCTGTTAGAAAAGGCCATAGTGACTCCTCCAAGTTTGATACCACATGCAATGAAATGTCAATTCTTAAATAGTTTAAACATTTTCATTTTTGAAGGACAATAATTGAAATCATTGGTGGTTTCAAAAGGAACACAACATTTGTTTTTGCCACTATAAGACTGGGCTTATGACAGTATTAAAGTCAGAATATCCAACTTTAGGGTGTCGCTGCACTGCTCTAATCTTTTCCCATGTTATGAGGAAAAATGATAAGGGGAACAAACCAGCAATGAACAAAAGCTAGTTTCAACCCTAATGCCAAATACTTATATCTAAAACTGGATCAAATACATATTGTGGTTTAACTCACTGTAAACTGTTCAGCACGCCTGCCTTGAGAAGCCAGAAAACGTAATCTCATGGATGCTACCCTACCATACTCCTTGTAGAGCATGTAACACGTCCAAAATGTCAACAGGTATTCCATCCCTATGTGGAAAAAGAACCTGAAGAAATTAGAAATTCTTCAAATTAGATGTGTATCAGAGTATGAAAACAAAAAAAGATTTTAAAGAACCAGTTGCTGCGAAGTTGGAAATATCGTTCTGATTTACCACTTATGCATCTCAACTTTCAACAATTTTATAAATAGACCATTGCAGGCCTCATAAAGCGAAATTCAACATTCGTTCCAACTAAAACCCAAGATGAGATTATTGACAGCAAAGTAGATGAAACATGCATACAAAGCAACCAAAGCTTTCAGCTATGCACATAGGTATGTAGATCTTTCAAGATGATTAAGATAATGGGCTTCCATATCTGTCCTGTTACGAAGGACAAACTAAACACTAAGAGGAGAGTCAACCGAATGACTAGGTTCAGATTCTCTTCTTGCATGATTCAGGATGTATCACCAAAATTTATATGTGATAGTTAAGAAACACCTACATTAGTCAAACGAGTTCGAAATATTTGGTGCCTGATTCCATTTTACGTTAGACAATTCTGGACAAAATTTTACCTCAACATCATAAACACTGGAATGGAACAATGGCAGTAAGCGTGCCAATGGTTGCTATATGTCAATATATAGGATTACAAACTAGAAAACCAAATACTAACAATTGAATGGGAGATGAGCCAAAATTAGCAAAGTCCTTTCTAGAGTTGTACTAAAATCAGGCATGACTACAATTCTATAACTGATCTGTTTAACCTCTATAAAACAACAACACACCCAGAATATCCTCAACTTTATTGGGCTCTGAAGGATGAAGATGTAAGACACCTTACCCACGTATTTCAATGCAGCAAGGCTGTTTAAGCATGACCCAAGATGTATTGGTGGATTTAACATATTGATTTGCAGCAACTTCGCTAGAATTAAGAAGTATGGGAACTTAATCGAGCCATTTTGATCTAGTCCATTATTAGCACAAAGCTAAAGAATTGTAAATGATGACTCTTCCAGCTCAATTTGCAACGGACAGAATCTGCTTAAACTCTATCCTAAACAAAACATCACAAAGTCGTACATTTGACATTAACCGAAGTTCAACCAGGAACATATTTTCCAGCCTAAAACAATGAGTAAACATTAGTAAACAAAATTTTGATAATCTGAACTAGTGTCCAAGCTTCTAATCATTATCCATCCACAACATCAGTTCCGATACATGTATCACAGATGATTGCTACTTTTTACTTTCAGAACACCGAATAGCGTATCTCTAGTGTTGAATGACACTAACTTATACAGTAAATGTCGTAGATTTATTGCATTGCTCTGAAAAAATAAAAAGTCAGACAGTAACCCAATATAGCAGAAAAACTTACTTGAGAGATTTGGCACGCACATTAGATATTGAAAGCTTATCAATGTTACTGACAACCAATTCTTTGTTGACAGTAACCAACATCCCATGCGATATATTCACCGGAATGAGAACCAGAAGGGCCAATACAGACACCGGCACAAAAATCTTTAGACTGCCAAAGTTAAAACAGTTAGAAACTTGAACCATGTGCTTCTAACCAGCTGTTCATTGATTGCCAAAACAATGCTGAAAAATAGAATTGTCAAATTGACAGTCATCATTTCCTCATAGATCTGTATTTTAAAACTGCCATAGACATTTTACACAATTTACTCCGAGAAAGTAAGCTTGAACACCAATTATTCATAAATCTAAGGCAGAAAACATATCTTCGAAAAGTACATAATGAGCAAGCAATCACACAAACAAGACCCCAGAAAAAAAAGAATGAAAGCCAGACAAAAACAAACCGGCCAGAAAAATTGTACCATAAGCATCAGGAAGATGACTGTAAAAAGATTGGACATTTAGTGGGCACTAGTCAAAAACACAAAATTCCTGTACAAAGTCTCACATAATTAAGTTGTTTCGGAAACCTTTAGTCAGCTGTATTCTATGCAACAAAACTGGGTCACAAGTTGCAGTATCTTTCTTTTCTTATGTTCATTTTCTGTAGTCAAATATTGACAAAACTGGAGAAGTTAAGAATTCATCTATTGGCTAAATAGACAGGAAAATCTTTAAACTTTTAGTCCACACACACGTTCAGAATAGGCGCAAATTACCGACATCAGATGTCAAGTTCTAAAACTTGCCTCAGAAGGAGTTCATCATCCTCCCAAAAGCAATGAACCAGCAAAAATGGTAATAGATGCCAAACCAAAGTTCAAACTTAAGAAACAAACAAAACCAAAATAGCAGGCAAATAACCATCTAATTATGCAAAACAAACAAAAGAAAGTTCCAAAAAACAGCAAAAATCTTGAGATTACCCGAGAATATAAATCCTCAAGAAGATGGCGGAATCAAGGCCAGCATGGGCGATGATTTCAGCCTCGTTCATCTTCAGAGCCTGAGGCATCCAATTGAGGAAAGTCAGATAAGTCCTGAAATCAAGATTGACAAACTTCCCCACGAAATTACCAGAACGCCTCGGGCTACTCCTCTGCCCACTAATGTACCACTTAGGAAAGTAAACCCTGTCATTTACAGGCTGAATTCTGAGCAATGCAAAAGCCACCAGAAACGCCAATGCAGTCAGAATATTAATTGCCGCAGACACCCCAATATCCCCCAGAGTCGCCATTGCACATCACGGAAATGATGATGTTTGATGAAATGAAACCCACAAAGAAAAACAAACGCAAAACGACAGGGACAACAACAACAGAGAGGAAGAAGAAGAATTATAAGAAAACAGAAGGTGGGTTCTCAAGAAATCTTTCCAGTTATATACCCAAACGAAGAAAAGTATAATTTATCAAAGTGGGTCTCGAATTCACATGGAAAAAAAAAAAAAAAAGGCTGGCTTTGGCTCTGGCTAAATTGGCTTTACAATGTGCACCTTTTCTATGCCCCTTTTGGTGCGTGGTGGGTTTCTATATTTCTATATTGTGAAATCAATCGGATAATGATTATAAAATTGAGGGATATTGCGTTTTCTGGGTTTGCTTTCAGTTCTGGTAAACTGAACAGAATGTGGAAGGATTTTGCTGAAGTAAAAGAATTATTATTATGGGTCGGCGGAAATCCACTCTGTTTAAACGTTGTTGTCCCTGTTGGCTGGAATTCTGGAATTCTGTACGTTGTTCTTTGTCGGGGAATATAGGGTTATTTAATTCATCCTTTTTGGCAGGCTTCTTCCTTTTTTCTGGCTTTTTTCTGCCTTCTTCTTCAGTTTTTGCCATTTCCATTTTTTTTCTCAGAATTATATATAGACTTTTGGCTTGCGGCGGAAAGTTTGCTACATTTTTCATTTTCATTATTATTAGTTTGGATAATATATTTTAATATTTAAAATATTTCTTAAGAGATTGTTCCATTTTTTAACTGTTTAAATATTATTAAGTTACCTTCTCTTAATAATAAATTATAATATTAATGGTCAAACTCTTCTACAAAATATGAATTAAAAGAGATTGATTTTTATACTTATTACTAATAACAGTGAATTTAAAATGTGCATTTGTATTTCTATATAAATCACACTATCAGCAGGAGAAATTCATTTTAGTAAATAAAAATAAACATATTACATACGTAACTGAAATGTCTTTCAATTTTATATTAATACTACTAGTCTTTCAATTTTCATACCAAATCTCCTTGGATGTTGACATCCATGTTACTAGACCCATACCAACACTTTCAGCATACACAATTACACATCAATGTTGCAAAACCAAAAAAAAAGAAAAAAAAGGTAGGATTCCATTACGTTTCAAATTCTTGCTTCACATTCTTGAAAATAAGATGCTAGGGTTATGCAACATTACTTTTGAAAGAAAAGAAAAATACTAATGTAATAACCAATTAGAACTGATTGATTGGAGAAGCTTATTATTGTAGATTTAAAAAAAATGTCAAATATTGAATATATTGCTTTGTGGCGGAGACAATTATGTGAGAAATGCTAAAGATTACATTAAAGAATAATAATAATTTCTTTAATCACATGATCATATGTTTGGACATGGCCTCAGTCATCTTTGTGACATGGAATTGTGAACATAGTCCAAGGCATCTTCGATGTTCGAAATTTTAATCATTTTTTTTTTTTGTCTGGTGATAATAAAATATTACAAACCGTGTTCAATCATTGGTCCCATATTCTCGTAGTAATTATTTATTGATCCTAGTAAGATTCAAGTTGATAATCGTAAGTTGTTTTGATTACACTAAGAAAAATTATTTGAAAAAGAATAATTTTGGAACGTGATTCAAAGCTTTGGGATTTAGAGACAGTATACGTCATTTTTTTTTTTTTTTTGAGAAGGTTTAAAACCTTGTTCGGAAATAAAATAGTACTGCCAGAAATTTGATTAACACGTGGCATTATTTCTTTCGTTTTTTTTTTTTTTTTGTTTCTTTGGATAGAAAAATGAAATTCAATAATTTATTGGAGATGCTAATAAGTAGTACGTCTTAAAGAACTAAAGTAATCAAACAAAAAAGAAAGATCTTAATTTTGTTTAATGCTAAATATCAGACACATGAATTTACCACAAGTTATTATCACTTTTCACGGTTGAAACATTTAATTATCCGCAACTTTAGACTCAAAATATTCACGTAATCAAAGCTTCAAACTTGAAAAGGTACTAGGATACATTCTATTTCAACACTTCAATGATTTTTACTTAAATTTTAGTTAAAATTCCAAATTATTTAAGAATGTTAAACCTCATAGTCAAAACTCAAAATGCTTTCAATTAACCACTTCAAGTTTTAAGCGTCAAAATACTTTTAAAAATGTCTAGTTAATAAGTACTCATCGTCGCTATTGAAATTTGGACCTTTTTTTTTTTTTTTCTTTTGTGAAACTAAGGAGCTAGAAATCAAAATAGGTTACTGGTCCACACAAGCCCTCCCACGGTGTTTGACAATATTGGGTATCCTTTTTAATCTACTTGTCTTCCACCATAAATTAACCCCACTTTTCACGCTCAATTCTTTTCTTTTCTTTTCTTTTTTTTTTTTTTTTTTGCCTGTCACGATTTCTGGAGTTTTGCCCCGACTAATCCGTTAGTCAACCCGAGTCGCACGCCTGGCTGTGGTGGGTGAGTATCCCTATAAGAGTTTTTTGCATCCACAAAATTTCGAATCCGAAATCTTGCTTAAGCGACATTAAGCTACTTACCACTTGTGCCAACCCCAGTTGGTCACACTCAATTCTTTCTCCGATCAATTTACATATGTGGGGTGAAGTTTATTAGGGAATGTGATAACATTACGATCAAGAAAGACTACCCACGTGCATGTCATTTACTTGTACTGCTATATAAATTTTGTTATAGTTTGAAGTTAAAACACGAAATTACTGTTTTTTGAACAGTCTTTCACATTTATTTACTTATAATTTTGCATCCAAATTATATTTTTCTTATCCTTTAATTGAAGATTCAACTACGATCCTACGCAAGCCTATAAAAGAATTATTTATCTAGGATACCAAAAAAAAAAAAAAGGAGTGAAAACTAGAAAGTAGTAAAAAGCAACAAAACAGAAGATTGAAACATCACTTTCCTTCAAAGATAGTAAAAGATACTGTTGAAGTGATGGCTTCACAAAATTGGATTCTCTACCCGTGACTTGGGGGGAACGTGATGCGGTACGGGGTCCAGTCTACCGGAATGGTGTTTCTCAATATCCTTTTTTCTCTATGATGAAACTCATTACTCATCTATTTGTCTTCTCTCTTTTCTTTTTCTTTTTTTTTTTAACGTAATTTAATCCTATGATAGAATTAGCCATAACCTAATACAATTGGAGAGGTAATTGAACTATGTTCAATCCTGACTTTAATATTTTTTGTTATGCAACTTTCCTCTTTCATCCGAGTTTGGGACCTATCAAAATAATATTAGTAATGAAAAAATGATCTTACCTTTTCTTAAAAAAGAAATAATCATACTTTATGGGTCACGAATAATACACTAATAAATAAGAATCATTATTCCATCATTAATCTATAACTTACTAACATAAAATTGATAAAAACCGTTAAATATACATTTACAAATTAGTTTACGTTTCATCTTATCAACAATCATAGGTTATTTAAGTTAAAATTATTCCATCGAAAAAGATAATGTCACGAATAATACACTAATAAATAAGAATCATTATTCCATCATTAATCTATAACTTACTAACATAAAATTGATAAAAAAACCGTTAAATATACATTTACAAATTAGTTTACGTTTCATCTTATCAACAATCATAGGTTATTTAAGTTAAAATTATTCCATCGAAAAAGATAATTATAGCATATTTGAAATTGAAATAAGAAATAATTTATGAAAAAATACACTGAATTAGAAAATGTATAACATGCATGATCAAATATGATTAATTTTACACAATATATATATATATATATCCATAAATTTTTTTTTTACCGTATTAAAGCAACATACAGGAAGTTGATGTGGCAGCTTCTGGCTAAATATTTTTCCTTCCTAAACTCTTAAAAATGTAAAATGAGTTTGACACGTGGCATAAGTTTCACTAGGGGTGTATTTATATTCATTAAACCCAATCCTTTTTTAAATACTAGATGTTCCCCGTACGTTGTACGGGATAGAGTACCACGCTTTAAATAAATATCACTTATGGATTTCAAGTATCATCACGAATAGAGTGATGCTCATATTATATAACTTGAGAGAGAGAGAGTGAATCTAACTTTCATTGATTAATACTATAAAAGAGATGGCCAAATAAAATTATTTTCATTTTAAAATGGTAATTTATACCCGTGGGTAAAGTGAAATGCAAGATTGCATACATTATCATTCATGTTACTACTTAAAATCTTGAAGTCCGATATCCATATGCAACTCTATTCATAAGTCTACATGGTTTAGCAGCATAAAGTAGACAGGAATATTAATGGCAGATAAACATTCATTTTAATGTAGAAAACTATATATAACTCTTAGAAAAGCAAATTTGCCTATTTCAAATTTCTATAAGTAATAAAGTTTTACAAATCCGACTATAAATATAAAAAATCTTTATCAAAATGCATTCCATGGCTTCCACAATTAAGAAAATGCTTGCCGCTTGGGATAGAGACTTAATCTGAATCAAAATATCAGGTAACCCTATAATTTCTGCAAGAGCAAAATATATTGCATCGAAAAATACCTTTGCAATCTGTGATGAATTAGGACATTTAGCCTCTTCTTTTCTTGCATACTGACAAAAGACAACGTGAATTTGTGATCTAAATACCATAATAAGACAAATAAAGGCATTTTTCAGCCCAAATCTCGTAGGGATTTTCCATATCAGACGGAGAAAATAGATTAATCGAAATGTAATCGCCCAATTCGTGAAACAACAGGATCCGACAGGTCATCCCTTTATAAAAAAATTAACATACAGACAAATGGGGAAAAACCATGAACACGTACTTGCATGATTTTGTGGGAAAAAATTTAGGAATATGGCCGAATCAGATTATGAACGCTCACAGATGATGAACTCACAAATGAACTACAAATGCAACCTTTGGATAATGTGAATGACGAGGACTTTGAAGAGATAGATGACTTATATAGTGCAAGAGATATTGTCACAAAGAAAGTGGCTACTGATGAATACTTCAATATGACTGTCTGATGTATGATTCTTCAACATCATCTCCCATCGTCATCGTCTCCCCTTCTAATCGTGTTATTCTTAGATCTGGCTTCATCTTCTAATATTACATCAACAATTGCTGATTACATCTTCTAATGATCACGGAGATATGTCACTGTTTGATATGGGAGCTGAATACCATTTTTATGGTTCTGACATTGCTTGCTCCTTCCCTGTAAGTTCATTCTTCAATTTACTTAATGGACCAGAACACTGCATGCCAGGTCCTGTTAGATAAAATATAGATTTCCTAAAGTAAGAAAAAATAACTTAGATATTGAGATTGAGTAGAATAGGTTTAAGTATTGCTTTTATATTCTTGCCAGTACACTTTCTGTCTATACTTATAGACTTAAGCCTTAACGTGATAAGGAAAGTATACTAACAATCCTGATACATAAAACCTATTAACTAGGAATAAGTTATTCTCAAACTACTTGCCCCTAACCATATCTCTTGTGATAAAGATGGGAGTATGATCGACCTTATCACTCCAAAACTTCCTTGTCACACCTCATAC